AATATGAAAGTCAGTAACAAATCACACAAACTAAAGTAGATTGCAGAAATATAAAAACACATCTGTTGCTTTACCACACTACTTTAGGTAATTCAAAGTCACTGTAATAAACATATGTAAACATGTGGACTGCACTAAACACTGTCTGTTAACTTTAGACCAGTGGTTCTCAAACATTTTTGGTCGCGCTCCCATTTAAACCTATAAAAAAAAATCATTAACAACATTAAACACCATGTCTACACCAGACGCGAGTGGCAAAATACAGTAGAAGCATTATAATCAGTGACGCTGTCTACACTGGATGCAGCTCGACCATAGACTGTATAGGGCGCGACACGACAAAACCCAACATTAAACTGATGCCTTGTTCTATTTATGACGTACTGACACTAAGTTAAAATGATTTGAAACGGCCGCTTTGTCGCGTCTAGTGTAGAGATGCTGCGGCCCGACACGACAACTGTAGCGTCTGGTATAGACACGGTGAGTGAAGCCGAGAGCAAGATATGCCTCGTCATATTTTCTGCATTTAGCTTTTGAATGACCAGCACCTGCCTGGGTCTGTGCGACTTCATCTACGGCTTTTCTCTTCGCTTTCACAAACTGATCCATCTCCCATACATCTTTTGGCTGTTTGCTGTTATATTTCTTTTCTTTTTCTGCTGATGGCCCGCACTCGATTTGAAACAGCGCTGCTAAGACCGATAGGTGTGTGTCATCAAAGTACTGCGAGAGCTATAAGAGTCCGCGTCGGACGTCTCCTTTTGCTTTCTCTCGCCGTACTTTGATGTCATACACCGATCGATCTTCAAGTCAAAATCCACCAGGCGGGACATAGAGGAGAAACAATAATGTACAGTATGTGGAAAATAATGTTTTTTTAACCTTAAACCGCATAAACACATTTCATTACACCAAATACACAAAATAATGTTCTTTTTAGCAGCATCATATGACCCCTTTAATCAACTTTTAATTGAACAATTAATCACACACCAAAATGAAGATAAAGATATTACTGAGACTCAAATCATAAAACAGAAACAAAAAAAAGTTACAAAAAATGTTGTACAAAATAAATACAATAAATTGATAGCTCTATGTTTGTTTTTGTTTTTTGGAATGATAACTAGTACATATTTTGGTAAAAAACTGTGGTTACCACAGTCATTTTTGGTAAAGGACTAGTGTTTATATTTGCATATACATTATATTTGTGATGCACCAAGTGAGTTTACCTCACTTTCAGTAAATAAACTTGTCATGTCATGTTCTCAGGTGACAAATTAAACTAGTCATAGTCAAGTTCTTTGGCAACAAGTCGCCTCTTGATTTTTTTTTTAACTTAACTAATTTGGCATGCTAAAATTACTCCGATTACACACGCACACACACACACATAAACTAAATGGCATATGGTATATGAGACAAGCTGATATGTCCAAACCTTTGAGGTTTTTACTAGTCTGGAGCATCATACAACACATGCAAACACGGATTCTTGTACTTCATTGTCTCTTATACAAACATACACACAAAGAAATCATCAGACTACTTGCTGTCAACACTTCTCACGTCTACAGTGCTAGAGCACATCTACTACGTTAGTTAAGACAGCTACATGAGCTCAGCTCTACTGTAGTGTCAAACTGAGTTACGGTCAGCAAGCTCACTGCACTATGACCAACACTTACACTCTCCTGTGACTGCAAGTAAAACAAAACGAAAAAAGAAAAAACAAAATTCCACAAATACAAATCAGTGACAGTAAGTGTAATATTTCTTAAAGCTGTAAGTGTGCAAATCAGTCCTATCTGCTTCACTGATTATTCTGATTCATACGATTAATAATAACATTTAAAGCAGGCTCAGGAGTAAGGGGGATGGAAACCTTAAAATATCTCTTAGGACCAGTAATCAATCAGAGCACTTTTCTGTCATTAGGCAGATCGATGCAGCTTTACTGCTCTAGCTGACATCTGAACCTGCTAGTAGCTGAGATGTGACTTGCATGCATATCATATAGTGTATATATTCATCTCTCTAAATTAGTGAGACAATCCAAAGTGTGACGTTAACCATGGCAGTGAATTAAGGGGCACTAATGGAAAAGTTAAGTTGGTTAATGTAAGCATTTCTGGTGTCTCTTACCTGCCGTTGCTCATCTGCTGTGGAGAGTGGCCGGAGATGTCGGAGGGCTCTGAGCGTTTGTCAGGGGAACGGGATCGACTGCGACGGGTGTGCTCATGGGAATGATCTGATGCCAGTGAATGAATTTCTGAAATGTCTGTTGAAACAAATCATGATTTCCAAGTTTGAATTTAATCCAAGTTGACTTTTAGAAAAAGACAAAAATTCTTCAAGAAAAAGGAAAATAAAAAGGACAAGAAAGCCATGTAATGAACACGATGTAAAATATAAAGTCTTAAGTTAATGTCTGACCTTAAGTCTAATCTTAGATTATTTTTAGATGTACATTTTTAACTAGGATCATCTCACCATCTCTGTCTGAATTAGCTGAGGGAATGCTATCGTCCATATCTGGAATGTTTAGGAGTGTCGCCCTCTCGTCTCTCTGCACCACCATTTTCAGCTTGCCTTTCGATCGCTCTATAAGCTTCTTTGCGTCGATCAAAGACAGGTTCTCAGTCACTGTGCCATTGATCTATATGGAGAGGAGAAGGAGAACAGAAAGAACACCATTTTGTGGATGAACTATGGATACATAAGTCTGGCATTTTGCATAATACAGCTTAAAAGTGACAAAGGTCTGATCAAATAATATAAGCCAGGTATAATGTATGCTGATAAATGAAGCATTTTTAAATTATAAACTCTCTGTGAAATCTTGTTGCAAGATTTAATGTTAAAAAAAATGTTTATAAGTTAATAATCAGGGTCTGTCCTCAGTTTGTGATATTCCTGTTATCCAGTATTTCAGAGTAAACAGTACGGATGCAACAATACAGTTAGCCCACGGTCCAATAAATGCCTCAGTTTTTTAATTTTTTTTACCACAGTTTTTGGTTTAGTTATTTTTTGCTATTTTTAAATGCTATTTAAAAAAAGAAGTAGTATTATTTTTATGGACTGGCCATTATTTAGTGCTATGAACACATGTAATGTGTGTTTCATTCACACTGGACGCCCAGAAAATCCACATATACATTATAGAAGAAATAGAACTCAGGACGCTGCAGGAAATTCCTAATATGGGCAAAAACAGCCAGCGTAATCAACTAACAGAATGAAAGAAGACAGAAACGCTTTGAATGATGACATTCAAAAAGAACATTAAGATAATAAACACTGTACTGCGACAATGCAGGGGTTTTCCTCAGCCAAACCCCATTCCACAGCCATACCTGTGAAAAAAAATTTAGGAGCACCTTCTGATCAATAATAAAAAATTCTGATCAAAAATGAGCCTTCCTAATATGAGGTGACATTTGACTCAAAGTGATTTACAGGGGCATTTTCTTACCTTTGTAATGGCATTTTTCTAATTTTATTAAAAGTATGCAGTGTTTCCTATAGGATTTTTTCCAGCTGTGGCGGCAGGACTATTTCCCATGGACCACGCCCCCTCCCCACCAAAGAATCATGTGCACTCAGAATTGAATTTATTTTAACTAAAAACGACAAGTAAATAGTAAAAAATAATGACAATCAATAGCACAAACAAAAACAATAACAAGATACAAATTAAATTAACAGTACTTTAATTTTTTTCAGTTAGGTCTAACTATAATCTATTCCAACTGTAAAATAACACTGGTTAGTCTTCACTGTATAATGGAGGTTTATTTAGGCTGCTGTCTCTTTAAGACCTCATGCCCGGATCTAATATACTGTTACACATATGGCTCTATGCTTAATTTTCTTTTTAGGAGCTCTTGTCCTCCTAATTTAAAAAATTTAGGAGCACCTTCTGATCAATAATCAAACATTCTGATCAAAAATGATCCTTCCTAATATGAGGTGACATTTGACTCCTTAAAGTGACTTACAGGGGTATTTTCTTTTTACCTTTGTAATGGCATCATTTTCATCTGTCAAATTCTAGACTGTACAGTTGTGTGAAAAAGTTTTTGCCCCCTTCCTGGTTTTTTAATTGTTTGCATATTTGTCACACTTAAAAGATTCAGATCATCAAACAAATTTTAATATTACACAAAGATAACCTGAGTAAATACAAAATGAGGCAAGTGAGGCCTGCAGTTCTTTAGATGTTGTTCTGGGTTCTTTTATGACCTCCTGGATGAGTCGTCGTTGCGCTCTTGGAGTAATTTTGGTAGGCTGGCCATTCCTGGGAAGGTTCGCCACTGTTCCAAGTTTTCTCAATTTGTGGATAATGGCTCTAACCATGGTTCGCTGGAGTCCCAAAGCCTTAGAAATGGCTTCATAATCCTTTCCAGACTGATACATGTCAACTATTTTGTTTCTCATCTGTTCTTGAATTTCTTTAGATCACGGCATGATGTGTTGCTCTTTAAGCATGCTTCTCTTTGTCAGACAGGTTCTATTTAAGTGATTTCTTGATTCAACAGGTCTGGCAGTAATCAGGCCTGCGTGTGGCTAGTGAAATTTAACTCAGCTTTCAAAAATGATGTGGTTAATCACAGTTCTTTCATGATTTAAGAGGAGGGGAAAATAATTTTTCACGTAGAGCCAGGTAGGTTTGGACAGCTGTTTTCCCTTAATAAATGAAATTATAATTTAAAAACTGCATTTTGTATTTACTTGCATTATCTTTGCGTAATATTAAAATTGGTTTGATGATCTGAATCTTTTAAGTGTCACAAATATGCAAACAATTGAAAAAACAGGAAGGGGGCAAAAACTTTCACACCACTGTATGTTTATAAGCTTTTTAAAATTTCTATTTAAAACAATAAGTAGTAGAATAAGACAAATAAGTTACCAATCATATGAAATTAAAAATTAATTTGTACTACAGAGGTGGCATAAACATAAAAGTGGCTTGTAGGTACATTTTCAGAAGTTTAATGAGGCTCAGAGGTGACATGAGTGCAATTAAATTCATACATTCATGTGGAGATTAATGTTTTAAATATAACATTTTGAATACAGAAATATTAAATGATTTAAATAACTGCAATTATACGCTAAAAATGAAACTAAATCCGCCATCAGGTGGCAGCAAGTCACTAATTTTATCACTGAATCATTCATGCAATTGATTCGTTCGAACCGTTTATTCATTCAGGAATGAAGCAAGTGACTGTCTTTATGAATGGGTAATCATGAATCACTGACTCACTAGATTCGTTCAAAAACGCACTTTCATTGAATGAATTAAACACTGCTGTGTTTGCTTTTAGAGATGCTCAGCGGCTGAGCTGTTGCTATATTTGGAACTATTTTCATTGAAGAAATAGAGCAAAATTAGGCAGTACTTGTTTATTGAACTGTTGTATTAAATCAATATCACATTTGCAAACTCCCTTAATGACTATTAAAAGTTGTCACTCTCCTTATCTCGATCTGTGGGCACACAGGAAATGAGAGCGCGCGAGTGAGTTCTCAAGACTCAAAAGCACGTGCAAATGATAAGTTCCGTCATCTGTCATCGTGCTATAAGCGCGGAACCTGCGGGAATGAGTAGAATTGTTATTAATAGCCACAATCCTGCGCCTGAAATTCAAGTCCTACTCTGTGTTCTCTGCTAATAACCCGACTGTGAATGATGCGAGCTCCATCACTATGTTGTTCACTGAGAAGCTGCAGCCGTGGCGGGGATGATTTCTGGTGTGCCGGCCGGCAGAACAACAACAACAACAACAACAATGCGCTGTGTTTCTTTTCCCCTAATTTTTTCCAACTGACGGAAATCCATCGTAGCGACGGAGAACTTTAATCCCTGGACAATGTTTATCTGTGTTCATAAAACCACCTCGAGTATTTTAATAATTAAGTAATGTTATATTTATAATCCACTGCTAATCGATTTAGCCGTTATTCCAGTGTAGAATTTATTTCTGCGTCATTCTGTGATAAGAAGCCACATCAGATCAAGGGGGAAATTATTTTAAATATTTGTCTGATGTTGTGGCAACTGACGGAAATCCATCGTAGCGACGGAGAACTTTAATCCCTGGACAATGTTTATCTGTGTTCATAAAACCACCTCGAGTATTTTAATAATTAAGTAATGTTATATTTATAATCCACTGCTAATCGATTTAGCCGTTATTCCAGTGTAGAATTTATTTCTGCGTCATTCTGTGATAAGAAGCCATCAAGGGGGAAATTATTTTAAATATTTGTCTGATGTTGTGGAGTAAAAGAATGTTATGTTCTTTTTTGTTGTTGGACAAAAGGTTTAGTCATTACAAGGGAAGATGCTCGGCGTGTGTTGCTTTTTCAGATGCAGGCGTTTCACAGAGCCAGCTTGGAGAGAAATAAAACGCACGGAAATTTAAAAGCAAAACCTGATTGGTTGAACTCTTCATCTTTTTCTGTTGCTTGCTTTGAGTACTGCACGTGAACAGAGGCGTCACCAGGTTGTTTTGCGTAGTTTAGAGTGACAAATCATACCAGCGTACTTTGAGGTCAAAATGTGTATCCGCTACGCAAAATGCGTACAGGTTGACAGGTCTGAGCATATATAGGTAGAAATTAAAGTATAATAACATAAACATTAAGAACGAGAGTGAAAATTTTGGGTGTGCTTAAAGTTACTGTACCCAAAGGTGCTGTAAGTGCCTTTATGGAAATATCCCTGAAAGATATAAATACCTAAGCTGAGATATCACACTCATCTGCCCTAGTCTTTATGAACAAACAGTGACCACAAGCTGTTAGATTCTTCATTCAGCCATTGAGAAGGCTTTTGAGGTGCTTTCTGCATGTCAATCATTTTGAACGTTCACAGTGGGCAGTCCATATATGGGAAACCAAACGCTGAGAACATGATAGATAACTTGGAGCGGTTTTCATGAGTTTAGAGGGAGCCAAATGTTCACAATTTCTCATCTGTCAACAACGACTTAAAACAGCCAAACATTTTTATAGAAATATTAAGGGTCCACAAAACACTGGTGAAGCTTTTCAGGCCAAGTAAGGGTACCAGCAACTACCGCTGGTACCGCTCAATCCAGTTCTCTTATTTTCCCGAAACCATCTCTGATCCATCCCAGACACCACTTCTCATACCTTCAGGACGACGTCTCCCTCTTGTATGTTGCCATCACGGGCTGCAAGGCTCTCGGGAGAAATGTCCTTTACAAATATGTGGCTGGCCAGACGCAGGCCGTATTCTGTGCACAACAGAAAATACACACAAGAATGAACAATAACAGACATAATCCACTTGAATTAATGAGTGACTGATAAATCTGGCTACTGAGTAACTTACTACAGCTTTGTTCTTGTTGAAAGCACCCTGTGGGTATTTCTGCCAGTAGACTAATCACATTAGCTAATGTACAACAGCCTGCATTACACCTGTTTACACATTCTAATATGTTTGCCAAGCCCTCTGTTGAAGCCATCAATAGTAATTAAGTGGTTTGTCCTCCAATTTTTAACAGCTCCACCCACCTTCATTCTTGCGGGACTTGACAAGTGTGACTTTGGAAGGTCGTGGCGGGACGTTGGATGCAACTGATCGTCTGTCTGAGCGTGGGGAAATGCTCCTCTCACGGGAATTACTATGGTCTCTCCTTCCGGTGCTGCCGCTGCGCTCGTTTCTGCTGCTAGTGCCTCCACTCGCTCCCCCTGCACGTGCTGGTCCCTCATAATCATCCTCCTCAGTGTCGTCCTCTTCCTCTCGCTCTGACATAGTCTCTCTGTCTCCCCCTCGACTTACAGGAATCTGCACCTTCCGCTTTCTGCGGATAGTCTGAACAGGCAATATATTAACATTTCAACCAGATGAATAAGATTTACATTCTAAAAGGTAACAATAGAGTATATTAATATGTTAACATTAGCAAGGGCAATAGCCCGTTATATACCATTATTACACAGCTCTCTAGAATACTTCATTCTGATTGGTCAATGCATTTTGTGATCAAATGAGGCCATTAATTGCACTCAGAGTCCAAAATAAAAACATAACTAATTATATTACATATTCATATGTTTTTGGGGAATATCTGAGTGTGCATATTATTTTCTTATGTATCTTCATTTAAAGTGTGGATTCATCAATTATGTCAGTATCAGCTGTGAATGTGTGTATCCATATCATTCGTATCACAGAAACCCTAAAGTACTGATCACTTTAAAAAAAAAATTAAAAATCTAGCTCTAAAGGTCATGCCTCTTCAGAGAGGACAAAAAAAAAACAGAAAGTGTTCTAGACACTGACTAACAGCTCCTGTACGCTCACAAAGACAAATACTCTGCAGTACTGCAGTTTGACTCCCAGCATTCCTCACTGCTTAATGTAAAGCTCAGGCATGACTGATCACCTCCACTTCCTGCCTTCCTCGAGTTCTTCCATCCTCCATCACAGCCCACTACTCACATCTGTAGCCCAGTTAAGACTCAAGGTTGTACCGGACTGATGCAATGTATGAGGGATGATGTGTTGTTAACTTACAATTTTGGCATTCTTTCCACTTTTTCTCAGCTGCTGAACAGCGTAGGCATGCTCCACATTGTCCATGGAGACACCGTTCACCATCACCACTCTATCATTCTCTCTGCAGACAAAAAATATATATTTTAGTGAAGAAAATAAAAATCTAAATGATTTTTTAATATAAATATTTTAACAAATACAGTTTTTTTTATAAATTAGAATTAAAATGTATATGCTATAATTACATAAATTTGTAATTACATATACACAGATATATATATCGTTTATATGAGATTTATATATATTTATATTGTGAAGAAAATAAAAATCTAAATGTTTTTATATAAATAATATTTTAACAAATATAATTTAAAAGTAAATTGTATAAGTCATAATTACATAAAATTATTATATATACACAGATATATAAATAAATAATACATTAATATATTTTTTAGTATTTATATAGCTAGACAGATATATATGATTTTTTTTTTTTTTATGCATCTTTATACATACAAATATTAAATCATACAAATTGTATTTTCATTTAAATAACTATGTTAGTTAAAAATCTGTTTTAAATGTTGAATTCCCTAAATATTAAATATCTTACTGTAAAAGTCCTTCCGCTGGTCCCCCTTTGAGCACATCTGAGATCACTATAGAGGTCTCTCCACTCTGGAAATGAGGGTTGTCACGGCCCCCTGAGATGGCGATTCCAAACCCGAAACCTGGCGCCTGCAAAGGACATGAACATACACGGTGTAGAGTGAGCTCTTTGAATTCACAGCACATCTCTGTATAATTACATTACATTACATGGAACAGAATGATGAAGACCAATATGTAGGTTACTCTGTCTGTCTGTCTGTGTGTGTGTGTGTGTGTGTGTGAGAATGATATGCGTTTGCAATGTCTGGCAGCTTTTCAATCTCCCAGGTGTCTGAAGCTCTGAGCTCTCACTTTTGCACTCAAGCAATCAGAAAGAAAGGAAGATAAGACTGAAGAGGTAGAGAGTGATAGACAGACTCCAGACAGATGGCCAGAGCTCTGTTTAGAGCCTTTCCTGTCATGTCACTGGGCATCTTCACACACACACTGGTCTGTTCTACCTCTCTCTGCCATCCAAACCATCTGACCTTCCTCTAAACCATAAGAGCCTGAGCAGGTGAGGAGCACATATAATCACAGGGGGAAAGAATACAGCCTTGTTTATTTTGCGGAGAGTAACAGCTATGTAATACTGTTAGCCAGGAGCGGTCTGACACAGCTACACAGATTCCACCAATAAAACATTTTTGAAAGAAAGGAAGATAAGACTGAAGAGGTAGAGAGTGATAGACAGACTCCAGACAGATGGCCAGAGCTCTGTTTAGAGCCTTTCCTGTCATGTCACTGGGCATCTTCACACACACACTGGTCTGTTCTACCTCTCTCTGCCATCCAAACCATCTGACCTTCCTCTAAACACAAACAGCTATAAATCATAAGAGCCTGAGCAGGTGAGGAGCACATATAATCACAGGGGGAAAGAATACAGCCTTGTTTATTTTGCGGAGAGTAACAGCTATGTAATACTGTTAGCCAGGAGCGGTCTGACACAGCTACACAGATTCCACCAATAAAAATTTTTAAAAAAGCGCTTGTACACCTGTTATCTTGTCTAGGCTGTCAGTACATCAAAAAACAGGTCACAAGTGGGACTGACTGAACTAAAGTGTTACACAGATATCAGGTTATGAAACCGATCAAAGATGTGTGTGAGTGACCACAGTACTCCAGCTCTTACAGAACGAGGGGCTTAATAATACTGTGCCCAACTGACTGTTGCATAATCTCTGACTCGTTCTCAGACTGGTTTAGGTTTGGTTTGAGCCTAGGAACATGCAGGAAGAGGAAAAGGAACAGGAAGTGGAGCATAGCAGGCATTTTGTCCTCTCAGACACTGCTTCCTGCCATCTGGGGGATCGGCTATTGTGTACTCAATGACCACACATCCTGTAACTAGCCATCCCAAAAGAGAAGAGAGAGGAGAGGGAGGAAAGAAAGACAAATAGAAAGAGTAGGGATGCACTAATATTAATATTCTGGTTATTACCCATAACACACATATCAGCGAATCATTTATATGGCCAAAATCAACATTAGATACTACTTAGATGCTACTAAAAAAAACAACTATTCTGTATTTTATATCTCACTAAAAACTAAAATCAATAATTTTGCATTCTACAAATGAATGTAGGCATCAGAACATTAGAATGGAAAAACAGATATTCATTTTAAGATTGGCTAAATATGAACATTGGGGACATTGGATGAGGAATGGTGAAGTAGGAAAATGTAGAGGGGAAGAAAATTGAAGCACCAAGTGAGAAGATGAAAAAGAGCCAATGTTGAACACTCACCCTGTGAAGAGTCACCGTGTGCTGTTCCCATATTACAGTTTCCTCCATTGTTGTACTCTGACAGTGAGACAGAGAGAAAGCGATCAGTTAGGACAAAGTCTAAGCACAGTCAATGAGTTTGTATCAGCAGGTATTTCTCCTCTTTGTCAGGAGGTGATTTTACTCTGAAGTTCACAGAAGTTTAGAGCATGTGTCTAATAAAAGCATGTGATTAATAAAGCCTATTGACAATACTGTAGTCTAACAGGGTCAATTACAAGGTCAAAACAAAACTTAAACATAAGATCTATAGCATGTTGCATAGACAACACATTATCAATTCATGCGACTTTTAATTTATGGCTGGCTTATAACACCGTATATCACCACCAACAGAACAGAGTGATGTGATCACTATTAAAAACACCTGCCCAAAATGCCCCGCGCTCCTGAGACATTCAACTTCTCTTGTCTGACCAATCAGACGACAGCTGTCCCACTCATGTCTCTGCTTTCAATGCACACATCATACAAACAAACTGCTACAACACGAACAAGCTGCGCTGGTATAAGTCAGAAGGGACAGACGCAGAGAAAGAGAGAGAGGGAATGATAAAGACAAGGAGAGGAAGAGCAGACGGTATTTATAGCTCTAACCCTGAGCTGACGTGAACGGTTTGTGCTTCTGCTCCTTCACCCCTGTACTGTAGATGCCAGGCTGGATAAATTATTACAGTAAGTCTGAGAGTTTCAAAACAGACTCAAGCACTAATGGTGCACACATTGTGTATGTCTAATTACATATTTAAAATGTTTTTTCACTAAATGAACAAGGAAAACTATATTGGTCAATATAAGACTGCAATAAAACATTTTAATGAGAAAACCTTTTATAACACCAGCAAAATCAAACAAATAAGGAATACTTCCTATACCACCCACTGTACATCCCACATATCTGCACTGAAAACACAGTTTAACCCTCTGACCTGTTTACCACGCTGCTTAGCAGGCATCTCATTCATGGTCCTAATTGGCACAGGGGCATTATTCAGTTCATGCCCCCATTTCTACCCCTCTCTCTCATGGTTAGGCTTTATTGTGAGAGGATCTAACCTATTTGAAAGGCATCCACCTCTCACAATCTCAACGTTCCTCGATCCCTCCTCTGACCCTCATCCACACATTCCTTTAATGTGACTGTAGTGGCAGAGGTGCTGGATTCATCGGACTGCAAGAGCTGACAGCAGGGGCCCCGACCATAAGAAAAATGCCCATGCAGTGAGCCATGTGACAGACAGAGAGAGAGAGAGAGAGGCCTAGGGGTTCTTGTCCTTGGTGGCGGAAGAACAGCAGACTGTTTAGGCTTCAGAAGAATGGCCCCATTACGCCTGCATGAAAGCTTAGGCAAGGCCAGGAGTGGAACAATAAAGGTTGGAATATACATGACTTCTGCGCAATTATTTTTTTTGATTTACAGTCTAGACAAGTCAACGCTAGATGCCAAAAATCAGTGCCAGTCTGAAGAGCTGAGTTGACAGATTTCACAGAAAATTATGTAGTGTAAGATGGGCACAGAGTCCAATTTTTAGCTTCAGACTACAGTATGAATCCATCCAGATAGAGGATATTGAACACGTTTGATATTTTGAGCTAATTTTTTTTTTTAGCTAATTCTTCTAGCAATGAGGTGCATGTTTCTGCAGGAGTTTATTCTGAACAACTTAGTCTGGTAGTATCTGATTCTTAATTTATTGTACGAGGCTTAGTTTTGTACATAACCATGTACATAGTCTGAGAAGTGTTTTAAACCCCATTTCAGAGTTGAAAATCCATGTAGTCTATTCCAGCCTTAAAGAGGTCATATGATGCGATTTCAATTTTTCCTTTCTCTTTGGAGTGTTACAAGCTCTTGGTGCATAAAGAAGATCTGTAAAATTGTAAAGACTAAAGTCTCAAATCCAGATATTCTTTATAAAAGTTAAGTCAACCATGCCTACCTAAAACGGCTCGTTCTAACACGCCCCCACATGTCTACGTCACTATGTGGGAAGATTTGCATAACGCCACCCAAATGTTCACGCAAAGAAAGAAAGCGTAACTTTTATTCTCGCTGTTGCCGCTGCGGCCATGTTGTGGAGACACTGTGTGTTTTGTTGTGAAAGCGAAACTTTGTTTGGCCTTCCAAAAGAGGACATGACTAGAAATCAGTGGTTAAGTTGTATTTACAACACTGTTCCAGAACAGTTTAACCCAAATATTCAGATGTGTGCAGCGCATTTTATGGAGGACTGTTTCCTAATCCTGGGAGAGTAGACTACAATGCCAGCTGTTCTGACTCACAGACTGTAAGTTTTTTATATTTAAAGAACTTGCCACTGACGATTCAAACGCGAGTTTTGAGCAGTGTAGAGTAGCACTTGTTGTTTGTCATTTCTCCGATCACAAATGCAGACATGGTTTTATGTTTACGTGGCACGATGCAACGCAACGCATATGGCTGTCACGGTGACGGAATTTCCCTTGTGGTAATTCTAAGTGGCTCAATAGCGCGGTATGCGGTATTATCGCCATACATACATACTAGGGATGTCAATGATTAATAGATGATCGATTAATTGTCGATAAGAGATGCAATCGATTAAAGCTATCATGGTCGATTAAGTCGTTTAATTTTGAGCTGCGTGCGGCTCATGCGCAAAACACATGCGAGCAGCTGTGAGTGACGGTATATAAATGCATCATCATTCACTCATAATTCCAAATTAAGCTTTTAAAGGGATTTAAACTTTAAAAGTACATTAAAATAGAAACAACACAAAGTTCTTCAACATGGAATGCAATATAAATGTAGTAACAGTCATTTCCCCAGATAATTGTTTCATATTTGAAACAATTAGGTGAAGGTTGCAGGGCTGCGGGGACACAGGACAGATAGACTATTCATTCCTACAACTTGTTAATTCGTTCCTACGACTTATTAATTTGTGGCCACTGTCCATGTTTCATTAATTTTGTTCCTTAAATAACCCATGATTTAACTAAAATGAGGGAACAAATTAATACATCGAACTAATTCTTAATTCATGGCCATGAAATCTTTCATTTGCCTTCCGCATGTTTACCACAGTAAGAGATGTGAAAACAGTGATAGAAAGTGAATGACAATAAAATAAACCTGCGAAATTAGATTTAGGAAAAGAAACAATGCCTAAATATTATTGAATTTGTGGAAATTCGTGACCAAGAACAAAGCCGCATAAATGTAGGCTATATGGCCTCAAACGGCATCCAAAAGCATGGTCGCGATGTAAGGTTTTCCAGCTAACCAAATATTCCTCTAATAAACAAAGCTTTTATACCACACTTGTCATAATCAGAGCTTATAATTTGTAAATATATAATTGCTGGATTCAAAACAGCAATTAAAAGGCTCTGTGACCGACACTTGTTTTCCCGGAGCATTCAATGCTGTCACTAAACGGTGATGCCACAACTAAGCGCATCGTTCACAAGTAAACACAAATAAAAGTAAACACTTTTGCGGATTATACCTTACTCCAAAAATTGAGTTTTTTTATGTTTCAGCTGTTCGATCTCACCGGCGCCTCGCGCACACACCCCACATTTTCTAGCAATTCAAACTTACATCGCAGTCTGTTCATTATCAAAATAAAATACAGTCAACCAAACATATAAAAGGTTACACTGGTCAGTTTAAATAGACCGTAGTATACCGGTCCACTCTGCTGTTATGCCAAGGACGTTTTCGTTCATGTGAAGAGGATGATCTTTTCCGTCTATATGCGAATGCGTATAAAGTACAAGCCTAGTTTACATTATAAATAATAGTTTGACATTCAAATACATTGTGAATATGGAAACATTTGGATTTGTGCCGAATGAGAAGTGAGTAATAACCTCCAAATACATCTATCCAAACCCGCGTCTCGTATGCACGCATGCATGCACTGTCACGATTTAATGCACTGTCAATGCCGGATTTTTAAAAACAAATAGGCCTACCGCAAGGCAAAAATTTTAAATCTGACATTTTCCGGAACAGGATCCAGCAGGATCAAATTAAGTACTGGTCATAATACTCACATAATGATGTTTCATGTGAGCAACAGTGTGTTTTGCTGCAGCAGCACCGATGGAAGCGGTTCACTGACTGCGCAGCACAGCCACACGTGCCACAGTTACGTTTGGGATAATTTTATTTTAAATGCCATAATGCCAGTTGAAAACATTGCAATTGTGTTTTAAAATACAATAACCAGCACCACGAAACCATTTAAAGAGGCGCGTTCAGCGGTCTCCGTGTCAGGATAGGAAACAGTCAACAAAGTAAAATGATCTCAAACGAGCTCTCTTGCACTTTATCAAATTATCATAATCACATCTATGAGTGGTTTTTGAGTGGCTTTAATAGACGCATTTTGCTGCATTAAAGTTAACGATTAATTGATCGTTAATTTAAACGACGATCGATCATGGAAATTATGGAAAATTGACATCCCTAATACATACATACATATAATTTGTGTGTGTATGTGTTACGATATAACTAATAAGGTTATATTCAGAAGACAATGAAACCGAAACCAAATAGCGTTGAAACAGGAAGTGAAGTAAACAGAAGTGAATGGCAAAATAACAGTCCACATAACAGAACATAAACCTGACAATAAGATCATTAGGCTATCGTTAGCCTATATGTATAACAGTTAGCCTAGTTGTAACCTGATTTTCTAATCTGACTGGACAAGAGCCTTTCTTTTGATATTTCCGTGCGTTCTAGACGGGCTGTCAGTCAGTGCAGTTACAGTGTTACGCCACAAGGTGGTGGAAAGGGACTGTCATTCAACTACACGTTCAAAAATGCGGATTCATTCATTCAAAGAGAGACATAATGAAATAATTTTAACGTTGAGCACCACTTTAGAAGGCTCAGCTGACCAACTATGCGTCGATGCTAAGAGAAATTTCGCTTTCCTTGGACATGACAACATATTTTCACAAATATATATGACTCTGCCTAGAGGACAGACGCAAGTAATCGCACGCGCTCAGTC